AGAATCTACAAGTAATTTCCAAATTTGAAAAAATATAACAACAATTTAGAAATACATGAGAAACCAGACTAAGATCAAGTTACTGAAGAATTTGTTTCTGTGATTGATTCTTTAATCAAGGAATTTTCAGCGAGATTTTCTCAGTCCAGAGAATTATCGGAAATACTCAAGTTTATGTACCCTGATGTGACGTCATTTGATAAACTGAATTTGTCCCAATTCAATAGGTTGGAAATTGAAGAATATGAAATGCAGCTGAATCATTTCCAATCTAGTTCAATATGGAATCAAAAATTTGTTGAAACAAGGAAAGAGTTAGAAATAATTGAAACAGAAAGATTGACAGGCAATACAAGTGAAAATGCTAATAACAAAATTTTGGAAGCATGGAATGCGTTACCAAAAACATTGAATTATTTGAAGAAGCTGACTAATACTATTTCAACAATATTTTTATCAACCTATGCCTGCGTGTCATTATTTTCAAAGATGAGTAACATTAAAAACTCGGTTAGAAACCGTTTGACAGATGACTCCAGTTCAGCATGCACTCTTACAACCCTAACATAAGTTATTTGTCATCTAATCTGCAACTACAGAAGTCACACTAATTTTACTTTAATTTAAATTACACGTATAATTTGAACATTGCAAAATGTTCCTATTTTTTTGTAGTAAATAAATAATTTTGAGTTGATATTATTTATTATTATTATTTTCCCCATAATCACAACACAAAATTATTTGATGACACGTCTATGACCTGATTAAACTTTTCTTTATAAAAATGGCACGTCGATACGTAGAGATTCGCCATCCCTTACCTAGAGGGTTTAGGATATTGCGTACCATTACTGAGAACACTGATCTACCTTTTTCAATGTTTTTTTGTTGTTTCCTTAGATCGCTTAGGCTAAAGTTGAGCAGTAATAACATTCCACAGATAATCTTTCACTTCTCTTTGGTCTTTATTTCGTATATATTTATATCTTTTTCACCTCAGACACCATCCATTCGTTCCTACGATTCCGAAAAAGAGACTGATGGTGATGATATTTTCCTTCCGCTCTACCCTGTGACGTTGAATAGCAAAACACTCAAAATTCATATAAATTTTTAAGCTTTTGGCCCTCGGACGATAATTGAAGAAATTAAATATGTGCACTCATATTGAAAATCTATTAGGATCCACATATAATCCAAATGATGAAGAAGACTTGCGGAAATGAACTGATGATGGCAAAAGTTTCACAGAGATTGGAAATCTTCTGCAGATGATTACCAGGAGGACAAGTTGTTCATCTTAGATCAAAAGCAGTTTAAGTTATTTACTAAAACAAGCTAAAAGTGTCTGTAAAAGAAATTGCAGCGGTTTATGAAGAAGTTCAAGTTACTCTATCGTCGCACAAGATTCCAATGTGTAATCCAAGAAACCACAAGGAAATAAAGGTTACAATCAAAAGACTTGGAGAGAAGAAATAAATTGAACTGAAACTGAAACAGCATAAATCAACAGGGAACAAATCAATAATAAAGAGTCATTTATTCAATACTATTAATTGAGATGTTTTCTCTACAACAATCGGAAATACGTTACTTAACAACAGCTGTTATTCTTGAAAAATTATGTTAGCCTAGATGTATGTATGCATACCTAGATTCATTCAACCCTTCAATCAGCAATAATCCGTGCTGATTTGTCAAACGGGTTGACGGACAAGGGTGAAATAGATAAAAATTATTGCAAAGAAACAGGAAATATCACGATTGTCTCTCACTGTTTTGGGAAAAGTTTACACCAAAGTTGTATGCTTTCGAAGAGTAAACTGGTTACCTTGAATATGTCCTCGACTTTGTCAAGGTCATTTATACAAGTTTGTTTTGAACGGGAATACATTTTTTCGAGACAGAGCACGTTGTTCCCTAAGCTCTTAAGTTTTCATGTTTTAATAAATTTTGTCTACTCTACACTTATCAACCACCCCTTTTGTTCCAAATCACTTGTCTACTCTTTCGTCTGAATGCACATAAGTCAACATCTCTATAAATTTTT